CACAAAACCTCTATTTATTGCCTTGTATTCCTCATACTTCTTTTTTTCATTCTGTCAGTTTTAGTTCCATGGATTCTCTTTATCTTTTTCTCCATTTTTCCCATTTCTTCCTACTTTTCTTGATTTAGTATTCTTCCTCGTGGTTTTTTGAGTGGTTTGGCCACAACCCCATTTATATTTCAGAGCCAGCTGGTGAGCGGTGGTCAATATAATCTTTATTAGTGTGATTATAGGTGAAATAATTAATTCTTGATTACATAAAACAGAACCAGTTTTCAAAAATCTTAAGTAGATGGAAAATTATTCGGGACTTGTTAAGGAGGATGATCAACAGATGGAATTACCTCCTGGGTTTCGATTTCATCCAACTGATGAAGAATTGATTACTCATTATTTGTCTAACAAAGTTGTGGATAGCAATTTCTTTGCTATTGCTATTGGAGAAGTTGACTTGAACAAGATTGAACCTTGGGACCTCCCATGTAAGCTTCTCAAATTAGTACTGTATAATCTTTTCATTTTCCTCAATTCATATATAGAACGAGAAGAAGGTAGTCTCGGAGCAACAGTAAAGTTGTCTCCGTTGTCTCCGTGTAACCTATTGGTCATTGGTGGAGCCGTAGAATTAGCCACTGATGCTTGCATCAGGATTGACTGCCTACATCACATCCTTCTTTCCCCGGACCCTGCACGAACACGTGATGCTTCACGCGCCAGATTGCCCTTTTTTTTACATATGGACTGAGACGGGACGTGTGTCACGTGTTTAATGGAGCAACATGAATACTAATAATTTATATAGTCAACCTCAACTTACTGTTGTTGTTGTTGTTAGTTTCAGATATGGCATTTTGATGATATTTTTCTTTTTGGGAATGTAGGGAAGGCAAAAATGGGGGAAAAAGAATGGTATTTTTTCTGTGTGAGAGACAAGAAGTACCCAACAGGGTTGAGAACAAACAGGGCAACAGCTGCAGGTTATTGGAAAGCAACTGGAAAAGACAGGGAGATTTTCAGAGGAAAATCTCTTGTTGGGATGAAGAAAACTCTGGTTTTTTACAAAGGGAGAGCTCCAAAAGGTGAAAAGACAAATTGGGTCATTCATGAATATAGACTTGAGGGAAGATTGTCTCTTCAAAATCTCCCCAAGACAGCAAAGGTAATTCTTGTCATCTTTTCTTCTGTCCCCTCTTTCAATCAAGCAGGGTCAACAAAGTAGTTTTTGTGCAAACAGTATATATATATATGTATGAAAAATTTATTAAGTATCTTGAATACAATTAGTATTAAAATTTACTCAAATCGCTATAGAAATTCATAGAAGGTGAGTCTTGGCGTAACTGGTAAAGTTGCTGCCATGTAATTAGGAGATCACGGGTTCGAGCTATGGAAATAGCTTCTTGCAGAAATATAGGGTAAGTTACGTACAATAAACCCTTGTGGTCCAGTCCTTCCCCGGACCCAATGCATAGCCGGGAGCTTCGTGCACCGGACTACTCTAGCAACCCATAAACACCAAATGCTGTATGCGCCTCTAAATCAAGATTCTTTTTCTAACTCTTTTTTTTTTTTTTTTACTGTATTGTAGAATGAATGGGTCATTTGCAGAGTATTTCAAAAGAGCTGTGGTGGGAAGAAAATCCATATTTCAGGACTAGTGAAGCTGAATTCCGATGAAAATGAAATGGCGAATAGTAATTTTCTGCCACCATTGACAGACTCTTCTCCTTATATTGGCAAGATCAAACCTGCTGCTTCCCAATCCAGCCACGTGCACTGCTTCTCCAATTTTTTTACTGCTCAAAAGAGCCAAGAAAACATGATCAATTATTTCAACAATTCTCCTAATTTCTCTGCTCTCTCAAATCCAATGAATGATATTCCCATAAGTACATTTTCTTGTAACCAAATATTCCCAGTTCAGAATTATACTCAAAATTTTAAGAAAGAGGAGATAGTTAGTTTATCTCAAGAAACAAAGCTAAGCACTGACATGAATAATGAAATTTCCTCAATTGTGTCAAATCTTGAACTGGGAAAGAGATTACTTGAAGATCAGAGTCTTGATTGCCTTTGGAGTTACTGAAATAAGCAAAAATCAGAAGAAAGAGCAGAGAAGAGGCAGAACTAGTAGTAGTTATTATGGTGTGGAATTAATTTTATGTGCATGGATTTCTGATTTCTTAAGTTGCATTGAAGGCCGATGTCCGAATCATATCGATATAAAGGATGCACTGATAGTGTAAAAATTTATTTATACTGGCTTGAATCCGTTGCACGAAAACAATGTTATGTTTTGAATTTCTTTTTTTTAAATTTTATATTTTCCTGTTGCTTATCTAGGGCTAAATATTGTGGTGATGTTGAAGTTATAAATTTAATACTGAATGCTATAGCCTATAGGCATGAGATTTGTGGGAGATCAGGTTGGTGAGTTTGTGATATTTTCTTGTGTTTTTTCTCTTTGGAAATCTATATGCTGTGGACCCCTCTCCCTCCCCTATCCATATTTTGTATTTATTTATGTCATGATTTATAAATAAATCTCATAATGCAATAATTGTGATTTGATCCTTATTGGTTGTCGATATGCAACTACGCGCTTGTAAGAATAGAGAGGTGGTTTCCAATAGACCATCGGCTCAGGAAAGCATAAGCACTACATTAATGAAAATATAGACACGAAGGGACAGTACCAAAAGGCCATATAAAAGCAGAATAAAAATAACAAGATAGTAAGGTGATCAACAATGAAAGAAAACAACGATTAGTCATAAAAACTTACTACCAACAGAAAGCGACATTGCGTACCAATACTACTGTTATGAATACTCTAGACTACCATAATCCTCGACCTCCATACCTTCCTATGAAGGGACATATCCTCGGCCAGCTGAAGTTGCGCCATGTCTTGCCTAATCACCTCTCCCCACTTCTTCTTTGGTCTACCTCTACCTCTCCATAGGCCCTCCAATGTCAACCTCTCACATCTCCTCACCGGGGCGTCTGTGCTCCTCCTCCTCACATGGCCAATTGATAGGTTTTCAATATCTTTGCCTTGTGTTTTGATAATCTAACAAACTTAATGTCAAGAACCAGGTAGGGAACCTGACTTACGTGGATTACACTGCATTTAATGGATTTCAGCCAAATGTGAACTGCTACAGCTTCAGGAGCTAGGAAACTAAACAAGGACCTGCTGCCCTTGTGGTTCCCTCATAGCAGTACAAAGTCAGTTGGACACAGCTGGAAACGAAGTGACTGCCTGCACTGTTTCTGCCGCACTGCACTGTTTCCAGAGCCTACTCATTCCTGACAAACTAAAGTGCTCACATCAAATCAAGGTGTACCAACATGAGTTTATATTGGAACATCACTTGAAGGTTTCAGTTCCTCATTCAAGCTTCTGGCCAAGAACTGAAATATCAATCCTCACGAGCTTGAAGAACAAAGTTGAACGCAACTACGGACCAGTTCCAAAAGTTAGCATATTGTTGTCCTAGTTGAGTTGTAACTTTGTGATTGCACTTATTGTATCTCCTAAATTGCTTATCTAGAAGCGTTGATTAGGAATCCTTTGAAAATCCGTAAACTCCTTGAGTTTACGTTGTGGCTAGGTTAGTCATAAGCAAAAGCCTTTGTAACGTAGAGTGACAAAGTGGCTTGTGGTGAGAACACCACAAGTTAGTTAAAGCCTTTGTAACTAGAGTTATAAAGTGGCTTGTGGTGAGAGCATCATAAGTTAGTTGAAGTCTTTGTAATAGAGTTATTGCAAAGTGGCTTGTAATAGGCATTTTACAAGTTAGTGAAGTTAAAAGCCTACAGGTATAGGTTGCGGTTTTTTTATCCCCTTGTGTAGGATTTTTTTCACGTAAAAATCCTCTGCCTTATTTACGTACAGTTTTATTAGCATTCTCACAGAAACTCGTAAAGGACCAGGTAATCTACTGGTTGGTGGATTCACAAAAACTAACAATTGGTATCAGAGCGGGTTCCTCCTATCAGGCTAACACCTAGGAAGGATCCTCATGGCTGCTCCACCAACTTGTGTAAGGAGAGAACCAAAGAAGGAAAAGTACCTGGCACTCAAAGCTGATAACAATAATTCAAGTGAGGAAGACAGTGACATGGATTACTTAACCAAAAGGTTTCAGAAGATGGTCAGAAGAAATGGAGAAATGCTAAAAAGGGACAGCTCTAACAGATCAAAGAACTATGATCTTTGTTACAAGTGTGGAAAGGCTAGACACTTCATGAAAAATTGTCCTCTCTTGAAGCAAGAATTCTCTAAGAACTACAAGAGAAAAAGATCAGCTGACAATATGATGAGACAGGCTCTTGCAGCATGGGGGGGGGGGGGGGGGGTTCCTCCAGTGAGAAAGATGATGAACCTGGTACTAGTGATAGTTCCATGATGGCAGTTGAAGGCGAGGAAATTGAATATTACTCAACCTTTGCTTTAATGGCTCAATCAAATGTTAATGAAGACGATGACAACAAACAGGTAAATTTCAGGGATGTTCAGAGAAATCTGAAATCCTATTCTCCAAGAAAACTCATGTCTTTAGCTAACGTATTAATCAATGCCTTTCATAGTCTTGTGGAGGATAGGGATTCCTTGACCTTAGATTTAACAGAATCTGAACAAACTAGAGACAACTTAGTGGCTGTAGTTACTGACCATAAGAAAACCATTGAAATTTTCAGAAAGAAAAGAATGATCTTTTGGCAGTAATTACAGACCTAAGGGAACATAGTAGAACATTAGGACTAAGTTAAAACTAGAAAATTCGTAGGAAAAGGAAGAGATAGCTAGTGAGGAACACGATT